TGCTGTAAATCCGGTATACCATTAATCGGTTGCGAAGGGTCTATTGTTTGGAGACCTCGAATATTACGAACAATTGCTTGTAACATTAACAACATCTCGCATATTAAGACGTTTTCAAGCATGGAGATGTTGTGGTAATGGTGCAACATGGGATACAATGATATTTCTAAAAGATATTGAACTGATGGGACAAGCCAATCCGCGTAAAAAATGTTGCTCCTGTAATTTATGCTGCTGTTGTGATTGTTGTAGTGAAGCTGCACAATATATTGAAATAAAAGGTTCATTTGGTTCAGAACTCTTTCGTTTACCGAGGAATGAGGTACCTGATGCATGTGTACAAATACCAGGTGCTGCTGTAACATTTAAAACAAAACAACCGCAAAGGTATTGAAACACCAATAACGATAGGAATAAAATTTGTCTTTAATAATTTATTGCTTTGTTTTTCTAATTCCGTTTTGCATCTTGTTTTTTAACAAAAACATTATAGTCGATGCTGTGTCCAGCATGACTCATCGCTTTACTTACTAGTGGAGACAGTAGCTACCACAGAATTTCATTAACTCTCGATGAGCTAAGATTCTTGTCGATACAATCTGAAGATAAGTCCGTTATTTTTCTTACTTCAGTATCTCAAAAAAGTCATTCTCACATTTTCCGTTCGTGTAAAGACATAAAGTTCTTCACACTTCCATCATGACGAGGATAAAAAACGAAAGGTTTTTTGCTATGCTTTTCTTTGTCTTTCTTATATTCTTCACGCCATTACGCTTGTATGTCTCCATATCTTACGCCACCACTCATTTTTAGCGAAAAACTCTGCGTTTGGATGCTTTCATTTTTTTAAGATAAACTTCTCAAGTTATGAAACCCTTAAAATAACAATACCAGCTCACCAAACCCGTTCTAACACGAATTGAAAAAATCCACCAATCGCTGCTGACTAGCTAGAAAACCTCTTAAGGAAACATAAAAAAATCGTGTATACAGCCGTGTCTTCAGTCGTACAGATAGATCTCGACGAGCTCTATCCAGTCGTGTGTCTTACAAGGATACGCCTGAAACTAATGTTAAGTACACTGAGACGGTTCATTGCTTAAGCAAATACATTGTTACATATATTAACTTGTTTAAGCAAGTTAATATATGTAACAATGTATTTGTGGTTTATTTATTATAGGACGACAATTAGTCCCGAAAACTATCCCATAAGAAGTCAACCCATAATGTTGGAAAGTATTTTCAATTTATTATCACATGAAAATGGTTACAAATGGTTAGAACAGAAACAAAAAAAAATCACGCAATTGAACGATACAAATTGTGATGAAAAAACTTTAATGGAAAGAATGAGTAGAACACAGGTTTTTTCATCACAATTTGTATCGTTCAATTGCGTGATTTTTTTTGGTTTCTGTTCTAACCATTTGTAACCATTTTCATCTGATAATAAATTGAAAATACTTTCCAACATTATGGGTTGACTTGTTATGGGATAGTTTTCGGGACTAATTGTCGTCCTATAATAAATAAACCACAAATACAT